ATCTTAACACTTAGGTTTTGGGGGCATCCTGCAGTTTCAGATTATTTTTGCCATTTGGATCTGGAGCTTCTACTGACATTCTATCAAAGTTGTTTGACAAGTAATGCCTTTCATCAGGAAACATCTGCTGTATGCACATGTAAGTATGAATGCGTACTTGAAAAACTTTGCTTCGATTTAAAGCCTAAAGTATTGATCACAATCAATTTAAATGATGGGAAATAAGGTTGCTAAGGTGTCCAAAGAAAGGTATGTATAGGTACACTGAAAATTGTTCTTAATTATCATCTGTTGAATGAATGAAAACTTATGGCTGAGCTATGGTTTTCCCAAGTTCTCAGAAATGAAGTAAACATGATTTTAAACTGAGACAGGGGAGGTTTAGGTTAGATATTGGGAGAAAGTTTTTCACACAGAGAGTGCTGAGGCACTGGAACAGGTTGCCCAAGGAGGCTGTGGATGCCCCATCCCTGGAGGCATTCAAGGCCAGGCTGGATGTGGCTCTGGGCAGTCTGGTCTGCTGGTTGGCGACCCTGAACAGAGCAGGGGGTTGGAACTGGATGAGCATTGTGATCATTTTCATTCCAGGCCATTCTATGATCATAAGATCATGTTCACTTGTTCACGTTACTATGTTTTCAAGCTTTTCCTTCTGTCAGAGATCTAGATGTTTGTGTTTTGCAGCTCTTGACATGAGTGTTTTTAAGTAAGGCATGCCTCTAGAGCAGACTTTTTAAATTAACATAGAGAATGTTTCAAAATACAGTCATTGCCATATGGAAGTACTTAACCTAGGACTCCATTCTCAGTTCAGTACTGAGTTGTGTTTGACCTGCATCATTAGCTGTGGTTTTTAAAACAATCTACTGAATGCTTAATAACTGGAAGAAACAGAATGCAACTCCCATGCTCTACCTGGGCACGAATGAGGAACTTTGTGTTTAAAACCAAACCATCCCCCAAAGTAATGCAACGGTCAGCAAGATGATTTCCGTGTCACTGGAGAACCTGGTGCAAATTGTAATTGCAACCAAGTGTTGAAGGCTTTTAGAATACAGACAACACTCAGATGCTTATTGTTTGAGTTTGAACTTCCACAGAGAAGTAATCACATAAAAGATCAAGGTGTCTCTTTATTACTAGCTGCATTATCCTTGCCTCGTAAACATACAGCAGTGATTTTACAATATTCTTTTACACAGTATGATGGCAGGCACAAAGGGAAGAGAGAGCACACAATGAGCATAACTAACCATGCACGGGTAGTAGTGGACATAAATTTAGTAGAGTATAACAGAAATAACAGCTAAGGCTTGGTACAAATGATACTGAGCTACTGTAGCCCATTGGTGTGTTTTCAGAAATGCCTCACTAGACAGATTCTCATTTAGTTGTTAGAATCAGGAACTCTGTCATCAATACACCGGTGAGCCATCGTACATCAGTGACTCACGAGGTCTCATTCCTGAAAGCAAAATTGGCATAGAATCACAGAATGATTTGAGTTGGAAGGGACCTTTAAGATCATCTAGTTCCAATCCCTCTATTTAAAACAGTACTTGCAAACTGTGATATAGTGAATATCGTGATTGCTATTGATCTTCCTAGAGTTTTATAAATACAGTAGACTACTTTGTTATTGTTCTAAGACATATTTCAGTGTAGCAATTCCACCTTAATATTTAAAACCCATATCCTCCTTAACCAGCATACTTTCCTAGTCCCTTCACTATCAAAGCCTTTGCTATCTTGCTATTTTAGCACTCGTCTACCGCCTCTTTCCATTCTTAGCTCTTCCATGTGTACCTCATATACTTTCTGGATATTTTTTTCCCCATCCTTCCACTGAAGTAATTCTGTCATTTCACATAATGAACATGGCGAATATCAAGACGTGGACACTCGCTGAGGGAGAAGAACAAGAAGTGCCATTACCGCATGAAGGAACTTATCTTAAAAACGTTGCAAATTATAATACAGCTTTGTTCATATGTAACAAAATTAATTATTCCCTAGAACCTTACCACACTTTAATCATCTATTTGACACTTGTATTTGAGCATGCCATTGATTTCAGGATTGCCAGACAGGCATTTTATCACTCAGTAAAATGAACTAGCTAGGAATCATCTAAAACCTATTTTCAACGTGGACAGATCAACGTCACCATCCATCATTAACGTGTTGAAAAAAAAGCTGGGTTTTATGGATTCCCTGACACCGAGGAAAAGGCGCTTAGCTATTGCCTACACACTCATTTTCAAAAGTTTCATTTCAAACCTCCCTTTATTTCTTTATTTCTCCCTTTATTTGGTAAATTAAATCAACTCTAGAAGTCCAAACTAAAACACTGTAAAAGTATTTAGAAAAAGAAAAGAGTGGGCAATGGGCATTTTCATGTTTTGCAGTTAGAAAATTAGTGAAGTAAACTTTGTTTGGAAGTTTCTCATGCAACAGAGGATAAAATTTTGTTGATAATTTTCTTATTTAAGTGCACTATGCTTCTCTGCATTTCCTTTTAAAAGAAAATTGTATGTTACAAAAAAAATCATTATTCCTATCTTCAGATCTATTGGATTTTCTCTTCTCTTGTCAGTCAACAAATTAATAACGATATCATGCCACAACATTTTAAAAGATTTTGAAAGCACTTTTCAAAGAACAGCAAAATCTACTTAAACACAGCCTCTTGTCTTGCCAAACTCTGTGAGCTGTTTTTGTTCCTAGCTCTACAATAAAGGCCTTGGATAATCCAGACAAAATATCAGTCTTTAAAGTGGAACGCTTACATAAAGAAATGCATTTGTTAACTTTAATATCAAGACTTTATCAGGCTAGTCCTCAAACAGTCAGCCTTCAAGGGTAGCAATGACGTTTTCTTCCATTAGTCTTTTTTTCGTTTTTTTCCAGCTTACTGCCAGCAACAGTAACTGGTTTGTGACTGTCTTCTAATATCTTCTAAGCAAATGACTAAACAAGATTCACATGTTTCTTCTGAATGCTAAATATACTGCAATCCATGCTAGGCAAACTCACTGTGTGCATCACAGCACATGGGTTTCTTCTGTGGTTGGTACAGACAGGGTGTTCTGAACTACCGATACGATCTTTGATTTGTTCCTGAGTGAAAGCACAAACGTTTCTTCTAGATGGATGTCAGACTGTAGAAATGGACAAAAATGCATGCAAGAAATGGAAAAGTCCTTATTCAAGGGCACCTGTTGGGCTGGGCTCGGCTCCCTAAATCCCATGGCCAAGGTTCAAGGACAGGAATCATTCCTGACCTTGGAGGTTCATCCTCCTGCTCAGGCATTACAGATACTAAAAAGCTGTGCATCGCTGGATGTGGGAGAGGCAGTCACAGGCTACAAATGAGTAGATTTTCCCTACGTGATTTCTATGTAGTACTTCCTTTCCATAATACTTGATGCATACCTGACTTCACAATTCCCCAGGCCAGAGAAAGCCCAGTCAGATGTAACTTGGCTCTGTTTTGACCAGATGCAGGAAAAGTTTCCTCTGTCATGCTGTTTTTATTCTTACTTTCTTTTGATGGAGGAAGAAAACTTTTTTATTGGTCTCAAGACAAATTTTGCAAATTCTGCTAGCCTTTGTTTTTGAATTTCTAATAGGGGGTTCAGATTCTTCACGTCTATAAATGAGTACTTTACAAGAGCCTACAGTCTCACTTATTTACACTAGCAAAGGAACTTGCCCAGTTCAACTACCATACGTACAGCTTGACATTTGAATGGAACTGCAATTAGCAGGGTTATTTGTGTTTAACTTTATTTAGCACCTTATCTTCCTGCAACATTCTTGTCCCCGTACCAGCATCAACCATGAACCCAACACAGCTCTTACTAGTTCTGTTCTATTCTGGGATAGAAAAAATCCCCAGCAAATCCAAAAGAGAAACCAAACCAACCAAACAAACAAACCAAAACAAAACCCAGCAGCAATCCAGATCAAAAGAGGAAGATTCTCTTTAGCTCTGGGGAAAAAAATACATTAACTAAACGTCTTTGCAAAGGCTTTTATTAACATGATACATTCACTCACACGGCAGTTAAGCAACTCATAACTCACTCCAATACACAGGAAAGTTATTGAAAATACCTGGTATTTATTACCAAGCATGTGCAACCTTCCACACAAGTGCTGGTGAGGGACTCAGCTGGCAGGCAATGCAATCCCATGGAGCTATGCTTATTGTTCTGCAGCCTGCCAATTACTCAGCTATTTGCTCCCCTCTATTACTGTAGTATCTAAGACTGCAAGCCTGATGGCCAAACCCTTATTCACAGAATTGTTTGAGCTGGAAGGGACCCTTAAAAGCCACTAGTCCAGCTCCCCTGCAGTAAACAGGGACACGAAATCGGGTGCTCAGAGCTCCGTCTAGCCTCACCTTGAACATTTCCAGGGATGGGGCATCCGCCACCTCTCAGGGCAACTTGTGCCAGGGTCAAACATATAAACCCATATCAAGTCTGTTCTTTTTACTCCTATTAAAAGCAGCACCCAGCCTGGCAGAACCCAGGCTGGTTCAGAGCTCTCCTCCCCAGTGCTTAACATCTGAGCAAAGGAGCCCTGAAGGCTCTGGCATTTCAAATTCGAAGACGATGGGGTCTCTCCAGGGGTCGTGCCACTGACAGACCGCAGTCCTGCAAAACCTTTTCTGGAGCACTTTGTCCCCACGGGAGCCAGCAGGAACAGGAAGACAGGAAAAGCTGCTGGGTGGTGGGTGCTGGTAGCTGCACCCTGGCTGTCTATAGAAGAGGACGTCCACAGAAGAGGTCGCGTGCGCGCTGCTGGCTGCAGGTGTGCGTACAGGTGTGGGGAGCAGCGCCTCCGGGCGGGCGGCCCCAGGGTTGCGGGCAGGGCACGGCCAGGCTCCGATCCGCCCCGTCTCGGCTTCCCCCTCACCTTTCCTGGCCGGGAGCCGCCCCCGAGGGGCCGGGCCAGCAGCGGCGGGAGGACACCCGGCTCTAGCCGGCGGCACCGTGCGGCAGCGCAGCCCCGACGCCTCCGCCTCAGCCATGTCCTCCAGCTCTCCCCCGGGCGAGCACAAGAGCCGGAGCCTGGGCCGGCTTTCCCTGCCTAGGAAGGGCAGTATGACGCCCGGCAAGAAGCCCCCCTCGCTGGAGCTGGCCGAGAGCGTCCCGAACGCCCACTACACCCCGCTCCCCGAAGGGCAGGGTGGGCGGCCGCCGGCAGGCAGCGGTCCCGGAGCGACGCGAGAAAGGCCGCCACACGTGAAGAGCGATGTGGTGGTGGTGGGCACGGAAAGCTCGCGGCCCCCGGTCAGCCTGGACCCCCGCGTCTCCATCTATAGCCTCCGCAAACCGCTGCTGAGCCGCAGCAACATCCAGGGCCGGGTGTACAACTTCTTGGAGCGGCCGACGGGTTGGAAGTGCTTCGTGTACCACTTCACCGTGTGAGTAACCGCCCCTCGCCCGACCCACCTGCGTCTGGGGCCCGGGGCTGGCCCTGAGGGAGCGGCGTCCTCTCCCGGCTGCTGCCAGGCTCAGCGCAGTGCCGTCGCGCTGTAGGTGTGTGACGCTACGGTACTCCTGCAAGGAGAGCAGCGCGGCTGAGCGGAGGGGACGCTCTGCCCTTGTAAAATTAATTTCCATCGCTTTTTCTATTTTGGACCGACTTTTAGTTCTCTCTGGTCCGAGTGCCACCGCTGCTATTTTCAGTCAGGAAGGAGGATGATTCTGGGAGGATGTTAGAGCTGCGAGCGAGTTAGAAACGTTGAGTGTAGCCACCAGAGGTCTGTGCCCACCCTCGGCCGTCTCCTGCCGGTTGCTGGGGGGATCTCTGCAAGCGAATCCTTGAGAGATCAGTGCTTTATAATCGTGGGAGGTTTGCGTGGCCCTCGAGAGGTCTTAAAAGTAGGGAACAAGGTCAGGCTGAGGCGGGAGACCTGTTCGTGTCTCTGTATTGATGGGTGGATGGATGGATTAGATAGTCTTGGTAGTCTTTTCCGACCCTAATGATGACTCTGATTGCATACATGTGCACACCTATATGCGCTACGTACATATGTGCTTATTTCAAGAACTAGAGGTGATAGCATTTTTCAAGCCTGAAGATAAAGACTTCTGTTGAAATTTACTTACTGTGATCTTAAAGTATTCAGATCTCAAATTCTACAGTAACTTTTGTTTCTAAGCAAATTGAGGCTTGCATGCCAGTTTTCCACATTTTGGGATTCTGGAGTGAGGTAAATGGTACCAACTTTGTTTTAGCGGAGAGGAAGCAGCTGTAATCAGAGCGTATTTCAGTGGGAGTTGGCTGTATACAGCTGCTGAGATAATTGTGGGTCCTGCTCTGTTTCAGATGATAGTAATGCCATTAGATGACAAAACAACTAACGGCTGTAATTATGAAGTGTCAAATTGTGAACAATATACAACGCTTTGAGGAACAGGAAAATCCCTAAAAGGAGACTGAAGCAGCCTTCTGTCATAGTATTGACACTTTTCTGGTGTGTAAAAAGTGCAGGCAGTAAATCACGTTGAGTATCTCACCTAATTTTCAAATCTTAATGCTGATCTTAGGAAAAAAAATCCTGGAGAAGTCCATTAGATCTATTTATTTCTGTAGGAATCTAGCCTGAATTGTAACTGTTCTCAGACATATTAACTGTACGGATTAATCCTGTGTCAGGATATTAGGATATGCACAGCAAGCCCGTTGCCCACCTCTCCTTCAGTACACTTCTGCTCATGCTATGAGCATTACCCCTGTGCTTCCCTCTTTCCAGTAGAACTGTTTTTGATGCAGTGGTGAATGACAGCAATAGCAAATATTCTCGAGTTTTTTAACTAAGCATTGCAGAAGTTCCTTGTCTTAGGGCTTTAAAGGGACAGGGTGTACTCCTGTCCTGATGTGTTTCTTGCAAGGCAGTCTGTAAGTGTGGTCTGTATGTTTTCAGGCAGCTCCACTCAGATTTCCCCCAGCAGAGGAAATTGAGTTTGTACCAGCCTGAACCATCCCAACATCTTCTAATTTCTGTGGCAGATAAGCCTGCACACTCTGTACCTGTGATAATGTTTCAGGTTTCTGGTCTTCGGTCCATATCCCTCCAACTCTTTTACTTTCTGCTAGACCAAGGAATGCTCTCTTTGAGTACTGCTGCTGCCAGCAAGATGTTGAGTATTGGTTGCTTAATTCCTGCAGTGCATGAGCTTGGGATTAAAATTAACGGGAAAGGCAGACAGTTGATCTGATTCGGGGAAGCTGTTCTGGAGGAGATGTGGGACCTGATTTCTGCATTGGTTTGTTAGAATTTTGTGTGCAGAAGTCCCTTGCCAAAATCAGCTCAAGATACCGATGTCACTTACCTAGACCCTCTTTGTCATTCCCTCTGCTGGCTGCCTCCTGCTTTGTTCTGGGGGATTTCAATTGCATGAGAGGTCTCAGTTTCTCTTAAAGGTTCAGGGGATAAGAAGGCAGAACAGGACCAGTGTTACAGAGTAATGTTAAACTAGTGAATAAAGACCAAAACTGGGTAGGTTTCTGGCCAAGATGTTGCCTGAAGATAGGAGTACGGTGGTCTGTATTTTCTCTCTATTGCACTCATCTGCACCATGTAGGGTATGTAGCTATGTTCTTGGTTATAGACTGAAAGGATAGACTTAAAGGATTCTGTACTTAAAGGATATCTATAGAATAATCAAAGTATCTTCTTCTGGACCTGTGCTTCTGGCTGTTTAAAGCCTGTTTATTAAGCAAGAAAAGCTACATCTCCTGACTATCACACAGATTGACGATATATGAAAACCTCTTCTCCAAGAGGTGAAATGCGTGTTCTTTCTCTCTTGGTAATGTTTTTGATTTCCCAGGATAATGAGATATCAAAGTCACTGATTAAATCTATTGAGCTCTGCAAAAGTCTCTTATGAGTTGTTTTATTTACTCCTGAGCAAGCAGAATAATAAATGGATTATTGTACCTAATTTATACTCTATTTCTATAAGCTGTAGCAATAGTTTCTATGGAGAGAAGGAATGGAGAAAGGGCTATTAATTTGCCACTATAAATGGCCTGACTGAAATACTAGCAGAAATGATACATCAGCAATGTTGCATTGAATTTCATTTAAATACACAAAGCGTATAGTATATGTACGCTGAATTCTACCTCTGCAAATAAAGAGCTGGAAATTTACATGCATAGTTTCTGCAAACACAACTGATGGTTGCTTAGGAACTTGGATTTTGTACATCAGAGTCAGAGCTTGCCCTGTGGCATGGTTATATGTAAATGTCCTTCTGGAACCACCAAACCCGTGGTGAGGTTTGGTCACAGGTGAAGGAATGAGTGGGTGCCACTGTTCTCATTGACCTTTGGAGCTAGGGCATCTTATTACACTTATCTTAGCTGTGTGCCTTGAGATACTGGCTTTGAGTGGTGAAATGTCCTACAGTATTAGCCAGTCATGTTTTGAGGCTGTATGAAGAGGTGATGGGGCAAAAGAATCTTAATTTCTGTCTTTATAGTGACTCGTCGAAGGCTCTGTTTCTGTGTTGGAAATGACCGTAAAGAACGAGTCCTAGATTTCCAAGAGGGATAGGTTTCTTTTCACCTTCTGTAAATAGTTCTAAATCACATGTCTTAATGTGTTTGAAGAAACTTAAGTTATGAGCTTTCTGGTGTTTTCTTTTGTCTTCTGTATGGCAAATAACTTCTGGCAACATGTACTGTGTGTCGACTTCCTGTGCTCTTTGAAGTGTTGGCCATTATCAGTGAAAAAAACTCACGAGTAGATGGATCATTGGTCTGTTCATGTATTGCAACTCTCTTATGTTGCCATGCAAGATAAGTCCTCTATCTTATCTTTGCATTGATTTATGTACCCATTTCAATTTACTTTGCTTTTGTATATGTTCGGTTTAATCAGCCGTGATTGTGATTGAATTTTCTTTGAATCCTGAGGTGTTTACATAAGCTTGGGCTGGCTGGTGGCTGGGATCTGGGAGACCTGTCTATAAAGGGAGATGGCAACTTAGAAGTGTGAATTCAAAGATGAGGGAAACAGGCAGCTATGTGGGCTGCTCCAAAAGTAACGCCTCCTATTTTATTATGCTGGCCCATGACATCAGAGGCAGATGGATGTTGATGGTATGGCAGTAGAGGTTGAACCTTACCACCAATATTCATACATTTTGTTGATGTGTGACCGATGGGAGCAGAGAGGCAGTCTGGCAAAATAGTGTCTGACACGGAAGTGTGGATGAAACAAAGTGGTGTCATTGAATTTCTCCACGTGGAAAAAGTTGCACCCACTGATACTCACTGGCACTTGCTGAGCATTGGTGAAACCCATAGCTCATGGTGGTGACTATTTGGAAAATAGGGTTTTGTAGATCTTCAAGATCTACTGCTCACGGAGTGTGTCTGGACAAAATGAAGTGGAAACACGGTGACAAATGTAGCTTCCTTCTGCCTTATCACAAAATCCAACTTTGCAACTTTTTGCAACCTTTTGTGTGAAATAAAAGGAATCGGAAAGAAATCTTTCTCTATTCCCAGAGAGGAGATGAGCTTTTGCCTGGACCATTACCAAAGCTGGCTGAATGTGTAAGACAGCATGCTCATGGTTAGGAGTTGCCATTGCAGGATTTGCTGTGTTGCCAATCATTCAGATACTGATGTTTTTGAGTCTTGGCTAGATTTCTGATACAGGGCTTTGAAATCAGTTTCTTCGCACGTTGGGTACCCTCAGTGATACTGGAGAAGAAGTAGTCCAGAAAAAGTGTGTAATTAACACCAGAATTTGACTTGGTATCCTACCAAAAGTGTCCAGTCATGTACAGCACATATTTTCAAGGAAGACGAAAAGTTTATTCGATAGTATTTTAAATCTTATTAGATGAACAGAGCACGATAATTTCATGCTGTGTGAACCAAGTGACGGCTATAACATTAATTATTTTTGTTCAGTCCAGGTATTGTGCAGAAGGAACTTAGCTGTTTTTCTCCTCCTTCCTTCCCTGCTGCTGCATGACACGATACAGCTCTTTTGCTACAATTTTGCATGAAGATGCTTCTTTGGACTTATGCAATAGAGATAGTATTTGTGTTGGCCAGCATACAGCTTTTCTCTCTTTTGTTGTGCTGTATTTCCCAACCTGTGACTTGACAGAAGCTCGGAGCTTGGAACTGCATGAGGCAGGGGAACTCTGGGGACAAAAGAGCCTTTGCTATTTTACTGATGATGTTCAAGCCTTTGAGTAGCTGATGGGAGCTGAAGGCTGTAAACTTCAGAACGCTAACGCTCAGTTGAAGACCAAGTTGTGTGTGATGGATGAGCAACTCTGTGGAATCTGTGCAAGAGGTGATAAATGTTATCAATTTGGGCAGGCTTTCCTGCAGGTAGGCTTTCTCCTCTCTTTTCCAATCATCTTTCCAACTTAACACTTCAAG